TTTTGTCTTCGTCACTTCATCAACTCTTTCTACAGAGTTAATGATATCAATAGCATCATCATTGTTGACGTGTATTTCAGGACTTTGTTGTGTTTGAGGAACAACATTTTGTATTGGATTCGAAACAACACGTTACCCTGGGAGTGGACATCTCAACTGTTTTAATATATAATACAGTTGGTTAAATCCATGATGTTTCTGTTCATAACTCTTTAGGATTGTTAAACAATTAACAATGTGGGTGTTAATTTCTTTGATGTCGAGCATACTGCAATACGCTTTAAGTGATGCTTCAAGCAATTCTTCGATTACTTTACATTGACACTTGAAGTACTCCAAAGTTTCTGCCATATCTGCGGTGGTGTAATTTGGTAGATTGTTGTAATTAAATATACTTCTATTGACATGTGCATACAATTTCATATTCAGTTTGGTATACAAATCCTGTATATACTGGAATGTTTCGGCTTTGACATCCAAATTATAAATTGGTCGAAAAACATTTTCAAAGTTAATGTGAGTCGAACCAATCAATGTCCATATGTCCCAATATCCAAGTGATGGTATGGGTGATGTATTCATTTGTTATTTCAAGTTTTCAAATACGTTTATATATTTTATATTATTTATTATTATCACAGTTTCATTTTAAGTTAAGTTGATTTTTGCAAGTAAAGGGGGAATAATAGAGCAAAAGAAAATTTTGTTTTAACAAAATTAAAAATAATATTTAATAAAAGAAACTCTATTTTTTATTATAGTTGAAAACTGGTGGTAAAAAAAATGTTGAATTTGTCTTTGATTTAAACTTTTGATAAAATCGTTTTTGATTCTAAAAATATAAAACTAAAAGGATTAGGTTTGGAGAAAGGACAACGTTGTTTGACTGACTCTAATTAAAATTTAATTCTTAATGATATGTTTAATTTAATTTTTATATACAAATTGTATTTTTATAAGAATGATAATTTCAATGCGAACTTTTAAATCTGTTGTATTTTCAATTAATTTAATATAAATAATAAATAAGATATAAGTCTTTGTTTTTATTTTTTATTTTTAAATGAAAATGTCTTTTAACTTTTGTACATGGGGTAAATCAAAATATACATTTTTGATATAAAACAGACATATTCCCCAAAAACATTTTTCATTGGTTATCATTGAAAACGATTTGGTCAGTGTATCATTTTCCAATTAAATAATTAAGGTTTTAAAAGCATTTTACAAGCAGAGTTTTATCATTAATTTAAAAGGAATTTTTGTTTTAATTATTTTGAAACATATTTTTTATTTTAAAAATTTTTAAAATTTAACAAGAGAGAGATTATGTATTATTTTATTTATTAAATATATAAAGTGCATCACAAAATGGTCGACCACCATAAAATTGTCGTACGGCTTTTAAAACAAATTATTTACACAAAAGATTCAATTTGAAAAATGATTTTTCTGATGAATTTTCTTGAATACTCACCGAAGTAATAGAATGTTAAGAACACTTTGATGGTTAAATGTGTATTTCTTACATCAAACAAAAATACAATATTAATAAGTATTAGTTATTAACTTATTATTTATAGTTTAAAATGATCAATAAAACCATCTAAAATAACCACACAATTAATTTAAGTTGTTCCCACTGATTCTCTTTTCATAACGGTTCTCCACATCTTGGATTTGAACCGAAAGACGACCTGTAAAATGTTCTGTTACCACTGAATATGGTTCATTCATGAATTCTCTAATATGGCGCGCATGTTCCTTTTTATAATACATTCTGTACTCATGTTCATCCTTTGTTGTTTCCTTGTCTGACGCAATTTGTGTTTTAACAAACCCACAGATATAAAATGCAGAAATGATGTTTTTTGAAATCGCCGCTTTGTGGAAAGAAGAAACAATAGCGACAATTTGTTT